CGAGGAGACTTCCAAGGTCATCCAGTCTTCCAGACCTCCCACTGCACCGCGTCACTAACGAGCCTGTCCAGGTGAGCCACCTCCCCGTATTCATATTAAATTAGCCTCAAAAAAGCGCCCCCCCTTCGGCCCCGCTTCATTGCCTGGCAGCTCTGACCACAAAATAGCGTGAATGACACCTGAAGTGTTCCATATTCCAACACAAGGTTCATCTTACAAAAGGTCTTAAAGACACACACACAAAAAAAAAGTTAGAAAGCATATACCCACCAACGTAACCCTATGCTATAAAATATAAATGAATGGTTGTCATGGTGACTGCTTCAGAGAGAAATAGAGTCCCTCACAAATGCTCAATGCCCAGAAGAAATCCTCACACACACACACAAACCTGGTTCTTTCCCTTCCTTACCATTATTACCAAGCTTCATTCAGAGATTGGGGTTTACCTAATTCTGCAACGTTTCGCACCAGCAAATTGCAACAGGAAGAGAAGCGCACTGCTTCTGTCACTGAAACCTATTCAGATTTCTCCAAGTATCCGGAGAAATCCCATTGCTTTGGACAAATCTATAAGCTCTCTTATTGCTCTGTGAGGCACAGTTTTGAATTACTGTTTTTCATTACTGGTATGCTTTCTAGCAGACCCCGCTGCGAGATAAAGTGGTATTAGAGTGGCATTACCGGCTTGTGGAGTGATTGAGAGACATACGGGTCTGCAATATACTCCTTGAACTAACAGGCAGCAATATATCTAGAAACCCTTTTGCTTCTACCAGAAGAAGGGCAGAAAAATAAATATATTCCTAGGCTATAGATATGCAAACCCCCAAATACCTGCCACTGACCGAATTCCACACTCAAAACTAAAAATGGAAACTCCAGAGCTGATGTAAGCAGTACCAGAACATTTCAGGCTCTCCGGAGAGGCACGGGACACCAAGCAGCGCTAACGTGACCCCGCAGCTTCCAGGCCAGGGCACCTTATGCCTATGCAGAGCAGAGAGCAGGAACCACAGCCCCAGCACTTCTGCCTCCACCCACATAGATGTGTCCTGCTGTAGGGCAGCTTCAGCTGCCACCGTTTTGGGAGATTACCAAAAGCACCTTGATGACTCAGCAGCAGCAAAAGGCACGCTGTGTCTTTAGTGCCGCGCTCTCTCGGTGATATGGCCATTACCGGTATTAGGAGGATGCACGCCTGGGTGCTGGTTCTGAGTACACTTCAGGTCTGGGGTTACTGAAAGCCAGAAGAAGCTGTTAGGCCAAAATGTGTTCCCATGCGCATGCCCATGCTGCAGGATCCCTGACCGTGAAGCGGAGCCTTACAGGACTCAGTGCTGTCCAGACACAGAACAAAAACTACAGGAGAGACAGAAGGTCAGGCAAGAGGAAAAAAAATTAACATGACTAGCCTGGTCAGCAGTGGTCTCAGCACTTCTCTGACCAAGCTCGGGTTTCTGCAGCTTTCTAGGACGAGGAGCATGTGAAGGTTTGCAGATGTTCCCAGGCAGCTCCTTCTGAATGTGACCGACAATACTGGGGAAAGCACCAAGACAAATTTATGAACATGTTTCTAAGTGAATGGCAGATCTCCCTGCCTACCCAGGGATGCAAACTGATACTTAAGAGTGAGCAAGAGACCAACAATGTGACAGAGACAGATCAGGAGGGGTCTGGAGAGCCAGTAAGATCACCAGCTGAGGCTGGGCCAATGGAAGGCTGCAGAGGTGCAACCAAACCAGCAGGCAGAAAAAACGAGTGCTCTGCAAGAAGAGCTAGTCCTGTGTGAGACCAGTGTGTTGCAGGAATAAAACACAGGATGAGAGCGTGAACGACAGCATTAGTTGCAAATATGCGTAAAAGAGGCCACATCTTAGAAATGCGATACTAAAAGGACTCGCTTGACACCAAGGCAGCCTGGAAGCCGGAACCCAGCAAGTGGTATGGGATGACACCAAGGCTACTGCCCTGCACAGCAGGAAGGTCTGGGTTTGCTGTCCATGGGGAGGGACAAGAGAGATCCACAGGACGTGCTGGCAGACAGCTAGAGGGAGGAGGATCAGATAAGCGGAGTCCAGGATGCCAAAGCTTCAAGCAGAGCAGGCCAGATCTCGAGGGAGATCAGGTGAAAGGACTGTAACAGCCAGAAGCCCAGGTAGAAGGGCAAGAGAAACACCAGACTGAATGCAGCGGTGTCAGTCCAGGGCCAACGGCATGAGCAGCCACTACCAGAGCCCCGTGCTGAAGTGGCCCCTTGAAGAACCGCTTCTCTCCGTGTAACTTTGGTGTGTCCCCACACAAGGACCGGAACTAGAAACCAACTAGGAGCCAGGCCACCACTGACACTAGCCAGAGGTCCAGCACTCTCTGTTCAGCCAACAATTTCTCAGCCTTATGTTTCCAGCCCCCTGTCTTCAGGGCTTTCCTTTAATAAAGGTAAGCTTTAATAAAGGTAGCAGCTGCTGGCAAACGAGGATAGATGATCAAGCCAGTGATATCCTACTAGCCTGAGTAAAGAGTGCTCATGGCATTGCGCTGGTTGCAGATCCCTGGATCTGTTGGCCAGTTTCAGTTGTATTTAACATCAGGTGGAAACCTGAGTGATAGAAAGCTCCTAAGATGTCATGGAAATAGGCGGCTGGGCAGAGAAGAGGGACTTAAATCAGAACCACTAGAAAAGACAGGACTGCAAAGCCAGCTCGGTTCTGCTCTTGGAGATGAGAAAATTGACATGCAAGTTACCGCAAAAACTTGAGTAAGAACTCATATCTCCCCAGATATCAGATAATTCACACCCCCAGCATGAAGACATAGGAAACTAAACTTCTTAAGCTGTGCTATCTGCAAGGTTATATTTTCCCCTTTGAAAGGCACCGACAGACACGAAGGTAAGAATATCAGCCCACAAAAGCCTGCTGCGTGTATGCAATCTAACCTGCAGCTCCCACAAAGAGGAACTCTTCTCTCTTGCCTAGAGATGTCCTGCCAGCAGACTCAGAGGACATGGCAATTTAATAACACCATTCCCTCTCCTCAGCCTGGCCCTGTGTGCTGACATATCGCTTCTCTCAAACTAGAAGCACACTAAAATAAACGAGGGAATACACAGCTTTCACTTCATTCTGTTCCTCATTTCCCTATGCCTAACTATTTCCTGCTGCTTTCAACGCAAGATCTGAAGGCAAGTAGGAGGGACTGTCAGCACAGTGTCTCATGGGGAAGAAGGGAAGCGATTAAATTTCCAAGATGGCATGTGCTACCAAGTCATTTCTCCTTCAGCTCCACTTATGACACCCATCTTCCTTCACTGTCAGTAACCAAAAAGAAAAGTGAAATAGAAGCAGCAGCAAACTTGTGAATTCCTACCTGGTTTCACAGTTATGTAGAAATCACATAAAATGTAGAAAGGTCCACTACATTATTTAGTGGCTTTCCTATGAAAAACAAACAAACAAAAAAACCACCAAGGAAAACCCCAACCCTCTTTTGAATCTTAGATATCCTCCCATCCAGGAAAACCCCACAGGAGAACAAAATATTTTACTAACAATTTACTAAGTAAGCCATTCCGCTTTCCAGAAGATTTCACAACAGCACTCAACAAATTCTCACAGCAGATCCGCCAAATGAAATAAAAGGTTAAAAATACATTCCTAGGAAATAGAATAGAATAAGACCTTCAAGGTAAACACCAAAAAGCCATCTCAATAAATGAAATGGCACTCTACCGAAGGGCTTCCACTTGATTTTAATTCTCATGTGGATCCTTACCTTTGAGCATTTCTCCAACACTTCCTCCTTGAACTGCAGGAATTTCTCCTGGATGGTGGGCTGGTTGAGAGCGAAGGACAGGAAGTGTGTGAAGGGTTGCTTCTTACGGAAGCTGTCCAGGAGAACATCGATCCGCGTTCGGGCAGAGATGACACCACTGCGATGCTGCCCTGTAATCACTACAAGGAAACAAAGCAATACTTGTCTGGTTTCCATGAAGCTACAGCGACACTACCCATACCCACGCAAAATAAAGAATAATTGAATGGATCATGATTTTACACGATATTTATCCATGCACTTTAAAATGAGGATCTGGTGAATATTTCATCCAGTAGATGAAATCCAGGTAAGAATATTTCATCCATGAGATGCTGGGAGGGAATTAGAAAAACCTTCACAAAAGCACCCTCTACTCTTAGCCCCGGGCTCACTGAAGAAGCAATAGGAATTAAAACCCCCAACCATGCCCAGAGAAATCTCGCCAGACTCCCCATGTGACTTAAAATGCCTGACACAGCTGTGTTTTCTCTGTAAAGACAAGATGATGCCATCAAAAGTATCCCTCTGCTCTCAAGAAAGTCAGCTCTGAGTGCCTAAAAAACAATAACTGAGAGTCTATCATTTCAGCGGCTCTTCAGATTTCTAGACCATTATTTCAAGTTTTCATAAAGGCAGTCAAAGTGAAAAAGAAAAGAAAATCTATCAAAGATCAAGATGGCCTATATCGTTTGTGCATGCACTTCAAGGCACCAAACAGAGAACACTTGAGCTTGAAAGGAAAGAACCGCAAGGAGCAAAATTTTCTTGGCTTCCTATTATTACATGTTTTCAACATCTCTCAACCTTCCTAATAGTCCTTCACGGTTCTCAGGAAGAAGTCAAGACCCACTCCTTGAGAAGTACTGCCACGTTCCTGCGCAGCACCACAGCTGGATCCCCCCGTCACTTACTCCTCACAGCTCTGTCACAAATGTAACTGTACACCGTGCCAATTATCACCGGAGCGTGCGTAAGGGGCCCTCCAGATATCCACTCAGGCAGAAACCCGCACGGGCCAGCCCTTATGAGGAACGCCTCTTTTCTTTTTAAGTCACTGGAAGTGATGAGAAGGAACATACGGTACAAGAAAGCCTGCTCTCACCATCAGGATCAAGTGACAACACCAGAAAAGCAGCAACGTCATCAAAACACTTCGCAGATTAAAGCAGGTGCTGAAGTTTATTTCATGCATAAATATACAACGCAGCAATTTTTTCTGGATGTATGTTACAGCTCCTCATTAATGGACAGTATTAATTTAAAAAAAGGAAACCAAAGCCACAACAAAACCAAAAAACGACCCCAACACATTCAGACCCAAAGTTCTCAAGCCTGTCATTTAAGGCCTAGAAGTGACTTCAGTGAGACTATTTATGGACTTAAAATATATTTTTTTTTCCCCCCCGAAAAAAAACCTTATACTTCTTTATATAATAGACAGGGAAAACAAACTCAGGAGAAAAGTGATTTTTCAAAGACCGTAAAGGGAGCCAGTGCCATGTCAGAAGCAGGAATTCAAGGAAAAACACCTCCTATGCCCCATCCCCGCTCAAATCATGTCTGTGCAAGAGCTGATGAGAGAACACCGATTTCATGCATGTTAAAGCTTACCAATTTCTCCTTCCACTCCAGGCTTGGGAATGCTGATGGAGGTTCGAGTCTCTGTTTCTAGCTTCTTCTTGGTTTCTCCTTTCTTCCCAATAACGTACCTGGAGGCGTAAAAGTGCAAGAGAGTCATTTACACAGTGACGCTGGGCCGCTCTCCATCAAGTGTGTCCAGCCAGCAGATTAACCATGCCACAGGCAGCTGGTCGCCCCCAGATTTGGTATCTCTGTGCTAGAGGGACACACGCATTCAGCTCCACGCACAGGACCCAGTCCAGGCACAGAGGCTACTCCCAGGACTCGGTGCATGACTAGCCTAGGGCCAGGGGATGATGTTGAGCTGTGGTTCACAATGGGCTTAAGCTAAAATAAGTTAGTTGATCCATGACAGCTCTGCCCAGCACATCCTGCCACAGCTTATTCATCAGCTGGGTTACCCTTTTTTCCCCATTACCCCAGCTGACAAAGAACTAAGGGCACTTCTTCCGCTTTTTGCTTTGCTCAAGGTAGTCATTTGCCAGCATCCAAACACACAAGAGAACAGCTTTCCTTCTCTACATCTCAGTAAAACTATTCAACCAATAAAACTGTCAAAAATAACTAGATAAAGCTTTGAACTCTACAGGCTTCCCAGTAAACACCAGATTTGAGTCAACAGTCAATTCCAGTCGTGTGTGCTTTCTCTCAAAGCCTTCACAAACTCCCCCTGCCAGGCTGCTCGCCCCAGTTCTTCCTCCCCTTCTTCCACCCTCCCTGACGCTTTTATGTTCAAGGGAAGAGATGCTCAAACACCGTCCTGCCAGCAAGAAAGCACCACCTGCTGTCTCTGTCACAGGAAAGGCTAGGAGTCAAGCGTGGCACAACTGCACTAAAAAGACATTGCCAATTTTCCCTTCCCAAATGCTAAAATCCACATCCACAGAACGGAATAAATTTTGAAGATCTGGCACTTACCCCAACCTCAAAAAAAAAAAAAATACTCTGCGCTCAACCGCTTCCCAAAAGCGACTCAAATAAACCAGAAACACACAGGCTCACTTGCATAATGGGCTGGGAACCTCCACTCTGCACTGGAAGCCTTTCTCAGTCTCTTCCACCACAAAAGCATCACAGGGTTCATCTGCGCAGTCACCAGGGCCTACCAGAAAAAAAACAACAGACCTTGTACAACCTCTGTAAAGTTTGGCAGCGCTTTATGTAGGACAATAGTCTCACAGCCTTCTTCTCCCAAGGTTAAATAAAGGAAGAAACAGACTCCTTTCTGTTGCGGCTAACTGCTTTTTATTTCACCTTACAACCAGCTCCGGAAAACATAATGACTGCTTCTAAATCCGTCGGGCTGGGAGGCGCAGGAAAGCAGTAGTTACAGCCCAGGTTTTCTCTCAGCTGGAAGCTGTGCAGCTACCCAGTGGGAATGGTCTCTTCTCCTGGCAGGATGGAAGTCACCGGGCCATTCAGAGATGCGAGCAGGAATTTTGTGTTGCAGGAGAACACAAATAAAAGGTGAGGATAGTTTTGGTTCAAGGATTCAGGTAGAGTGTTTTGGAAAACAGAGAAATTCTCACACCCTCGGCACAGAGGAATAGATGCACCTTTTATCCGTGGGCCCTTTTACCTGAGGGGCTCAGCAGTAAGGAGTGAGATCTATACCTCCAGAAGAGCATTAACTCCTCCTATATGTATGTACGGGAGATTTCAGAAAAGCAATACCTTCTCAAACCTTACATCACTCATTCGAAGACTAATTTTATGAGAACTTACAAGTATACTCTTTGTTGGCTCACAAACAGTCGCGCCTGTTAGGAGCAAACATGACTTCCAGAAAGAGTGGAAGTGGTTTCTATCTCCTCTCCAACACATATGGGAATGAATTTGGGTGACAAGCTGCTTACTAAAGCTTTGTTCGATCCACTGAAAGGCGGGGTGGAGGGAGAAGCAGGACACAACAGCCACAACCCTTCCCATCTGACAAATAACAGCTGAGCTTTTCTGTGCCCACCACTCACGCAGAACTACAACAAACACACAGCCAGAAAGATAAAGTAAAATATATCAGAACAGGAAGAATATACAGGTTAACACCTTCCAAAAGCCACATTATGAGAGGCCAAGTCTTCAAGGGGCAAACACTGCAAGGACAGAGGATCTTCAGCGAGCAGGTTCCACTCCTGCCGTATCTGCAAATAATCACGCTACCAAAAACAAAGCCACTTCAGGAACCTGGGGAACACAGATCTATGCAGCTCATTTTTTACCCTCTTCATTGGAGATCTTTCACAGCCAGCAAACATAACCGACAGTCAGCAGCACAGTCACCCAAACCCACACTAGGTAACCAGGATTACGTGCCCTCTTTGGCTTGCAGGATCACCAAGGACCAACACAAAGCATTTTTCTCCCTCTTGAACACCTCACTCCACGGCACAGGCAGGTCATTGAGCACATAAAGACATCAAAGAGAACACCAAGAGCTCCTTAGGTCACCACTGACGATGCTTTCATCTGTAGCATGTCCTGACAGCACCACGGTCACCCCTTGCGCAGCACTCTTTACCTGCACAGAAATCCTCCTCCTCCTCCTCATGCTGGTAGGCCTGCTCTTGAACAAGATTCTTCCTGTACACTCGCCCCCCGATCCTTATCAGGGTGGGCCGCAGAACGTCCATCCTGCTCCTCCTAATGCAAAAACAAAGACAGCTTTGCTAACTTATGCCAAGGAAAGGTAAATCCCAAGGTTTCCTTGGGAATAATTCGTAAGAGGCAGCAAGGGAACTCCGAGGGGCTCAGCAGTAAAGAACGAGGTCTGTACCTCCAGAAGAGCATTAACTTCTTCCTATAGGCATGTATGAGAGATTTCAGAAAACCAGTACCTTCTCAAACCTTACATCACTCATTCAAAGACTAATTTTATGAGAACTTACAAGCATACTCTTTGTTGGCTCACAAAGCAGAATCAAGTAAAACTGGGAAATTTAAGCAATGTAAGATACATAACAAAGCATCAATATTTTTTGCCCCTGCAAGCAGGTCTGCAACTTATCACCACTCTCCCTGAAACTCACAAGTTTGAGCTAAAACTCACTGTGGCCTCAGTCAATGTCTTGGCTGTCTTAGCACCCTTCAGGATTCTGAACAGTTTCACCTCCTTACTCTCCACAGCTGCAGACCAAAGAGACCCCAGCCTCTTGCGAGCAATCCGCTACAGCATCCACCTCTCTCACAATACCTGCCGTTCCCTGCTAGTTTCCCAAAAGCCTGAGGAGCTTTTCCAAAGCAAACACTGTTCCCTGGATCTGCTTGAGCTGGGGGTGGCTGGGGAAGGGAAACAAAGCAACCTCCTGCCTTCCACCTCAGAGCGGTAAGTTTGAGGCGTACACGTAAAAGCCTTACGCTGCCCTGCGTTATTCCAAATGACATAATAAACATCGAGTTAATTTTTTTTTTTTTTTTTACAGCAGAGAGCGTTTTACGGTGGAAAAGCAACGGGGCGACCCAAAGAACCGGCCGGGCACCCGTCAGACACTTCTATCACATCTTCAGCACTTCAGTTTCGAGGTTCGCTGAAAGCGTTAACATGGGAGATGCTCTGCTGTTAAAAAAACAGAAGCTCCTGTTACCCAAAAGACAGAATCTCCACCAAAATGTTCGCTTGTCGTCAGAGGCAAGGACGGCGGCCGACGGCGACCC